TTCGTGACCGGCAACGGATCGCAACCCTCAGTGTCACGCCCGTACCGGACTGGGACTGGCAACGGGATCGCAACCCTCAGTGTCACGCCCGTACCGGACTGGGACCGGCAACGGGATCGCAACCCTCGGTGCTGCGCCCGCACCTTGCTCAGCCAGTGAGCGGGAACTGGTCTCCACGTGGGATCTGAACCCTTGGCGGGAGCGCCGACACGCTCCCAAGCGGCGCACTGTAGCAGTGCGCCACCGGGCCGGCCCCTAATTTTGTGTGTTTTTTAAAATCATGAATGTATGAGGGTACTTCAAAAAGTTCGTGGAAAAATAGAGAATTAAAAGACACTATGAATCTTTCCATGAACTTTTTGAATTACCTTTGTATACTGTATACTTTGTATACATTTTATCAAATGTCTTTTCAGTATTTATGGAGATGATTATATTGTTTTTTTAATTTGACTTATTGATGGACTGTATTGTACTAATTTCCTAATATTAAATCCTCCCTAATTTATTTTTCAACCAATATTTGTTTAGTGCCTTCTGTTTGCCAGGCACTGTTGTAAGCACTGAAGAATCAGTAGAGAAAAACATAGATAAGTTTGCTGCTTTTGCTTTGGTTCTTGCTTCTGTGCTGTTTGGTAGTAGTGTCTCCTAGATGCCTATAATTTATTAATTCATTCTATGAAAATATGAATACCTTCTCTGTGCCAGACACTGTGCTAGTTTCTTGGGATATTAGAAAGCAAAACAGTTATGGTACTTCATGGATTTTAATGCAGGAAACAGACTTTAAACTGATAAGGTACAGATACATAATTGCAGTTTTGATAAATGCTATCAAGGAGAAGTACAAAAAGTTTATAAGAGGGATAACTAAGTTCAGGCAGTGTGGTCAGGGAAGGCCTCTTTGAACAAGTGTTATTTAAATTGAGAGCAGAGGGACTAAGTAAGAGACAGGTGAAGACGGGGGAGAGAAGAGTATTCTAGGTAAGGAAAACCACAAGGCCCAAGGTTGGGAAGTAGCTTGACATTTTCTCTGAAATGAAAGAAGGCCAGGGTGCCTAGAGCAGGGCTTGGGCACCAAGGTAATACAGGCTGTAGGGTTAGGGCCATAACTAATAACTATGCCAATTGTATTGTTAAAGCAATAGCTACACAAATTGTATGGCTAGGCATTTCATAACTAAAGCCAAAACGCTTCATTATTTTAGTTATATTAAGTTTCCATTTGTATTGTCAGGGCTAGGGCTCAGACCCTTCAAATCCATTGTACAGACTGGATCACAGACCCCTCACATGCCAGGCTGGATCATAGACCTCTCATACACAGGTCCACGCTAGGTAATTGGGAAAGATCCTGGGAGCCATTGGCAGACGACACGAGTTCAGTCCTCAGCAGCAGCAGCAGCTGCTTAACAGCAGCAGTAACAGCGGAAGCAGCAGTGGCAGTGGCCTCTCGGGGCATCTGGGGGGCTCTGACAGCAACAGCTTGCCACAACAGCATTCAGCAGCAGTAGCAGCCTCCCTGGGGGTATCTCAGGGGCGGGGGGTGGGGGCCTGTGGATCAGAGCCACTCATCCTTTATACTTAAGTCCATAACCCAGGACACCTGGGTGCACATACGCAATTACGTTAGACAATAGCCAGGGAACACCTGGGCACACATGCGTATTTACATCAAACGTTCAGCAAGATTCTGAACATCTGAGGGACCCTGACCATTTTCCTATATTTTCCCTACACAGGCTAGGGCCAGATCTGGCAAGATTTTGTAAACCATAGTATTGAATCTGGAGTTTTATATTTAAAAAATGGGAAGAACATGAAGAATTTTATTCGAGGGTGTCATTTGCATGGAAGCAGAGAGACCAGTTAGGACGCTGTTTCAGCAGTATATGCTAGAGAGTATGGTGGCAGTAGAAATGGAGAGAAGTAGATTCAGTAAATGTTTTTGGAGGTAAAATCAATGGAAATTATTTTGGATGTAGGGGGTGAAGGGAAAAGAAGTGTCAAGGATGAATTTCCAATTTCTGGCATGAATGTGAATGAGAGTCCCATTTGCAGAAATAAGAACATTGCAGAAGAAATGAGTTTTCCTTTGAGGGGTAGGATCATGAATTCAGTTTTGGCTATTTTAGTTTGAGTTTTCTTTGAGACATTTGAGTACAGATGATAAATTGGCAGCTGAATGTATGTGTCTGAACTCAGAAGAAAGGTCTGGGCCACTAGCACACAGATGATATTCAAAACTATGAGAGATGATATGATTGCATATAGAGCTGTGCTCTCCAATACAGAAGCCACTAGCTACATATGCCTACTTATATTAATTAGAAATTCAGTTTCTTAGTTACAGTAGTCACATTTCAAGTGCTCATTAGCCACGTGTATTTACTGACTACCGTACTGGACAGCACAGTTACAGAACGTGCCCATCATCACAACATCCTATTGGACAATGCTGGTATAGAATGAGAAAAAGATTTAGAATTGAACTCAAAGAATTCTACTTTTAATTTAAAAGGGTAGGTAGTGGAAGAGATACCACAAAGGGCACTAAAAATTAGTGACCAGAGAGAGAGAAAGAAACTAGATGAGTATGGTATCATAGAAGCCTTCGAAAGAGGTTATTTCAAGCAATGATCAACTTGATTTCTGTTAATAGGTCTAATAAGATAACTGAAGAGTGTCCATTGGATTTAGCAATATGGAGGTTATTGGTGAACTTAAAGCAATTTCAGAGGGATGTTGGGTATAGAAGTCATATTAGAGTGGATTAAAAGAGACTAGTTGATTGTGGAAACTTAGATTGCTATGATAGAGGGCCCAGTTGAGGTTGGCAGTCAAGAATTTATAATGACAGCAATCTGGGTGTGTGGGTGTAAGTATGCATATTTACCCCTTCTGGTTGCTGAGGTATAAGTACAGAGAGGCAATCTGTGGGATTTCTGAGGGTTAGAATTTAGCCAGGTAGGTGCTGTGGAAGAACAGAGGTAAGGCAGTTCTGGGTATTTGCAACAGAGTGTAATGATGGCATCTGTTTGATAAAAAGGGAAGTGAAAGCAGAAGGCAGCTGATGGATAGTGAGCAAGTGGAGAAATCAATGGGCTGGAGGTTCCCATAGGTCAAAGAACAATTTCAGTGGGGATAATGAGCAAGTAAGCTGAAAGGAATACCAGGTCAGAGTGGGATGTTTGAATTAGAAGTTTGTGAGGTGATAGTGTTTCTACAATGAAAAAATCCATGGTATAATTGAGGGAGTCCCAGTAGGAACTGAGGGAATGGTGGTTGAGGTGGAGGGGGAAGGTCATTGGATAAGGAATTTAAAGGTGTTGACTGGGTTTCCTGTGCTAATTTTAAAGGGACCCAAAATAATGGCAGGAGTTTGAGTGGAGAGGAAGTATTATGAGTCAGGTATTAAATCCTGGATTCTGAAGTTTTGGGGAGGGTGGTGGATAATCTCATACAGGAAGGAAGGGAATAAAATGGCAGTGCCCAATGGGTGAGCCTCAAAGGAGAAAGGATTTTGCCTGAGCGAGGAGGAAGGAGAATTGTCTGGAAGTAGTATTAGGACAAATAAGGACACCAACCTTAAATTACATCAGGTGTGAGAGAATATAAACATCCTCCATTAAGAGGCTTGTGGGGGAAGCGCTTCTCTCAGGGAAGCCAGTTTGTCGTTGACTCTGATTTTTAATCTGAGTGCACAGTAAAATCACCTGGGGCGTATTTAAAACCCTACCTGTGTCAGGGCTTCACTCCCGAGATTCTGTCTTAATTGTCCCAGGGTGGGCCAAGGTGTCAGTATTTTCTAAAAGTGCCTCTGGAAATTCTAGTACATCCATACTTGAGAACTACTGAGAGGTGGAGGGAATGTTCAGATGAAGTTGATAGAGTGCTTACTGGTCACAGAGGTCCAGAGGGTTCTGGAAGGGAGAAGAAAAGTAGAAGGTTGAGTTGTGGGATGATTTGTCCTCTTTTCCAAACAGCATAGTGAGAGAGCATCCAGTGTTATATTGTAAGCAATTTCTGGAATCCTCTGGCCGTTAAATAAGGTCACTTTTATACTTGCTAAAATATATCTTTCACTTGTGGGAGAGAGAGAATATGTTCTTGTTCTAAATTTCTATCAGATGGAAACTGCTCTTTTTTTTTTTTTTTAAACCACTTTTAATATAAATCATCGGAGAAAAGGAGGACTTAAGCCCTGAAGGAGTTTTTCCCTGTATCTTCGAGGCTGCTCCTAATGGACACTTTATTCATTCCTCCTCCTCTTGTTTTTCCTTTCAACAGTGGCACTCTCATTAATTTTCTTATCTCTGGTTTACTTGGATGGCTTCTTTAACATTTATTTCTTTATTTTTATCATTTTTTCCCTTTTGATCAGTAATTTTATTTTTCATTTTTTTAACTTATTCTACAAATATAGAAACAACAGGAAATGCAGAGAACAAAAAGTAAGCCAAAGGTTCAGAAGTGGCTTTCCATTTTCATTTCATTTTCTCATATCTTTGTTTTTTACAAGTGTGAAAGAGTCCCGTTCGACAGTCGTTTATTAAATGCCTTCTTTCTGTGAAGTCTGACATCATTGTCACCAGTAAAGTGACCAAAACATTTTCCTGGGACTTTCTCAATGTTAGCATTGAAAGTCCTGAGTCCTAGAAAGCCCCTCAGTCCCAGACAACCCCAGGACAGTTGGTCACCCTGACTATTGAAAGTGTTGAGTTACCTGTATATGCAGTCTGCCTCTTGCCCTTAAGGAGCTTATAGTTTCCACGGGCATGAGAAAGCAGCATATGTAATAAATCAGAATAAGAATATAAACAAGTATAGTCATGCGTCACTTAACGATGAGGATATGTTTTGAGACCATGCGTCCTTAGGTGATTTCATTGTTGTGCGAACATCATAGAGTATACTTACACAAAGCTAGATGGTATAGCCTACTACACACCTATAGTGGGACCACTGTCATACATGTGGTCCATCGTTGACTGAAACATCGTTATGGAGCAATGACTGTGCATAGGTTTCCTGGATCACCATATCCAGACAGCTGATACAGATATAGGGCATCAGAAAAGGAGAGATGTATGTTATACACATAAGAAATTGTCCTAGATAATTTTGCTTCTAATTCTGCTATTTTCCAATTGACTATACTTGAACAAACTCACTCCTGAACATAGGTCATTGTATTGGTTTTGTAAGTTTATTCAAAATGCACATTTTCCATTTGAGGTAATGAGGTATAGAGGTTTCTTTTCTGAATATTTTGAACCAATCCCACTATTTTCTTTTTTAATTAGTTTGTAAATTTAATTTAATCTGTACCTATGAACGAACCATTCTACTTTGTTTCCTTCATGCTTCAGATACTCTTACTATATGAGGGTACTTCAAAAAGTTTGTGGAAAAATAGAATTATAAAATAATACAAATCTTTCCAAGAACTTTTCGAAGTGCCCTTGTATGATCTAATTTGAAATGGTAGAAATTTCCAGCTAAGGAATAGGAGGAGGATGATTGAGGAATTTTTCTTTTGCTAGAATTTGGAGGCTCCTGCATTGATATCTGAGAGATAGATCAGAACACAGGAAACGATTATTTTACTATGTATCACATCACTAGATCAGGCTGTTTGTTGAATGAGACCTAGGAGTGCTCACTTCCCTTAGGGTTCCCTCTCAGCATTTTCCCCTCCACCACCATGATACCAAATGCCTTGATCTTGTACTCGTGCGTGTGCTTCCTATATTAGAGGTCTGGAACATTTGTGATCTGGACCTTCTATTAACCCATTGAGAGTATGAGCCCAATAAAACATTGTATCTCAAAGCTGTGTGTGTATGGATTTCAATTCTTCTTAGGTGGCTGCAAAATTCGGGTTCAGGGGGACTGGACCAGAGAGCGCTGCTTTGAAATCCTTGATGAGGAACACTGTTCGAAGTTCCTCTCAGAGGTCTTTGCTGCTCAAGAAGGTAACTCAAGGCTCAGTAATTTTCTTTCTACTATTTCAGTGTGATTGAAATTCTGACATGCTGATACAGAGGCAGGTGGCCATTAGCAAAGTACCTCACCCCTTGAGCCCTGATAGCTGATATTTTTTTTCTTCAGGAATGAACCCAGGGATTGGCTAAGGAACAAGTCTGTCCAGCTTTAAGGACACTGAGCCAATTTCCAGAATCTTCAGTGTCATGACAAGTACAGTTTACCGCAGACTGTGTTCCTCCTTCTGCCCCCACATGACCTCAGAGCTGCCGTCATTTCCTTAGTCTCTTCCATTACATTCAAGAAGGTGCTGGCCCCTTCATATAAGGAGTGTTGAATGAATGGTTTTTGGTTTTGGTAAATTCCACTCAATGAAGGGCACCCCAGTTTCTGACCATGACCCTTATCTCTTCAGCTCAGTCACAACTTCTTGTTCCAGAGCAAAAGGACTCATCCAGCTGGTACCAGAAATTAGACACGAAGGACAAACCTTCTGCTTTTTCAGGTACTGAAAGGATTCTGTTTTCCCTGGTTACTATGATCATTGCAGAGTCAGTAGATTTTATCAAGCCAGATGAGATGATGTGGATTAAAGTCAATGTCAGACTCATTCTCCTGTGGAGTGGTTTTATTGAGCCCATGCACACTGATTAATGTTCACACCTAATCCTTTCTGTGGCACAATAGCTTTTCAGGAGCCAGTTTAGCAGAGTGGTAAAAAGTATAGGCTACAGAACTAGAGACGCTGAGTTTGAATCCCAAGTCTAGGACTTACTACTTATATGACCTTGGTCAAGAACTCAACAACTCTTAGCTTCCATTTCCTTTCCAATAGCATGGGAAGATTTTTAATAGTACCTACCTCATGGGGATTTTGTGATGATTAAGTGAGATAATGATATAATACCTTATTGGCAACCATGCATTGTGCTAAGTCTTCAATAAATGTTAGCTGTTATTATTCAGGTTCCAGATTAATGTAAACTTCTGTTGTTCTAGTTAGTATATCAGTGCTTCAGGGATGGATGTGCTTCTTCCCCCATCTAAGTAATTACTACCCTCATGGTACCTTTCTGTTTAGTAATGCCACTGACCAAATCATGACCAAAACAAATCCCTGTCTACCCTGGATATGTTGGATGTTACCTTTTTCCCCCTTTGACTTTGGATTCTGTGTCCTTCAGGGCTTCTTGGATTTGAGGATAATTTTTCATCTATAAATTTGGACAAGAAAATAAATTTACCAAATCAGCCTACAGGGATTCATCGGGAACCCCCACCCCCACCTCCACCCGCTTCAATGAATAAAATGTAAGTCTATGTCAAAACATATTTACCTTGTAGGAGACTTATATTTTAGGCAATTTTACTTTTGAATTCCTCATTTATTTGCTAGGCTTCCACGTGAAAAAGAAGCTTCTAACAAGGAACAGCCCAAAGTGACCAACACCATGCGGAAGCTCTTTGTACCAAATACCCAGTCTGGGCAGCGAGAAGGTCTCATCAAACATATCCTGGCAAAGCGAGAGAAAGAATATGTCAACATTCAGACTTTCAAGTGAGTCTCTCCTCTGTTTACTTAGTGTATTAGTCCATTTTGTGTTGCTGTAACAGAAATACCTGAGACTGGGTGATTTATAAAGAACAGAGGTTTATTTGGCTTACAATTCTGGGATAGCTGCATCTGGCATGGGCCTCAGGCTGCTTCTACTCATGGTGGAAAGCGGCGGGCGGCCGGCGGGTATAAGCAGATCACATGGCAAGAGGAAGCAAGAGAAAGCGAGAGAGAGAGAGAGAGAGAGAGAGAGAGAGAGAGAGAGAGAGAGGAGGTGCCAGGGTCTTTTAAGCAACCAGCTCTCACGAGAACTGATAGAGCTAGATCTCACTCAGGACCCCCACCCCCCAGAGAGAACATCAATCCATTCATGAGGGATCCGCCTCCATGACTCAAACAGCTTCCAGCACTGCCACATTGGGGATCAGATTTCCACATGAGTTTTGGTGGGGACAACACATCCAAACTCTATCACTGAGTCTAAAAAGTTAGTAGGTACAGCAGACAATGGCCTTTTGATATTTAAGGTATTAGCTTAACTAAGAATCAAAGCATGATTGAAAGGAATGGTTATCTGATTCAATCCCCTGTCTCTATGTTGGTCAATAACATGCATATCTGAAATAATACAGATGCTATAATTTCCCTTGGATTTTCTAACTACTAATAATACCATGTCTACTAATATTTCTATCCTCTCGTAGAGAACCAAATCAAGCTCACATGTACTAGAGAATTATCCTGTAGCACATTCCTTCAGCAAGTGTGTTTATCTATCTGGCCTGCTGAATTTTTTTCCAGCCAATACTGGAACATTAAAGTCCACCATTACCACTAGATCTTAATTTACTTACTTTGGTAGGTTAACTAAAGAAAGTTTCACCCATTCCTCTTGTTTGGGAGGTCTGTCTTGGATTCTTTTGTCTGTATTATTTTTCATTTGAACTTTACTTGTTGATATCCTCTTTTCTGGACCTGGTGTGTGTGGTGTATGGCGGGTATGATGTGGCATGGCGTGTATTCCCTGTGTGCAAAGAAACGACACTTTTCTTTGTTATTCATGGGCAGAATGTACTCTTCTAGTCCAAGATTCCAGTCCCATCTGTTATTCCCATCATGCCTCATTTATTCTAATTCAATCATAACCATATCCCTATGCTAAAACCTCTAGTTCCTTACATTCCCCACAATGCTTATATTTGTATGTAAACAGTTATGACAGTCATGAGTTTTCTCTTCTGCTTTCCCCTTAATACTATATTTGTGTCATCAGAATTTCCTACACAGATGTCTTTGTAATCCTTGGGAAGTGAGTTTTTGGATTCAACTACAGTCCCTTATAGAACAGTTATCCATATTAGACTAGCTCACAGCACGAAGAGACCTCTTTCCCATTTGTAAGCTCTCCCTTTGAGTATGAGTTTGGATGGATATGAATTGAAGGGAAATGTGGTAGGGTTGGTTGGTTAGCTCAGTTGGTTAGAGCACGGCCTAGTAACACCCAGATCAAGGGTTCGGATCTCAAAACTTGCCAGCCATCAAATAAAGTAAAATTCAAATAACAAAGAAAGGAAATGTGTTTTTTTAAATAGAGATGTGGTTCCTTTCTGTAGGTTCATTTAATATAAAATTTAGAGAAAATAAGCCCACTGCTTTTGTGTTGTAGCTTCAAGAGGTTTTTCTTATGTGTGTGTCAAAACATTTTGAGGAATTGTTAGCTTATTGTGAACATACCCTTGTATGAAGTAACAAGAAAGACCTTCTGTTGGTTCATACTTGATCTCTGTTTTCAAATTATTTTTTGGTATTATTAGATTTTTTGTTGGAACTTGGAATGTGAATGGCCAGTCTCCAGATAGCGGATTAGAACCTTGGCTGAACTGTGATCCGAATCCTCCTGATATCTACTGCATTGGGTAAGTAACAGTTTTCGAATTTCCTTTCAGCTGTATGTTTGGTGTTAGTTTACATGACATTTTGCCTTCTTTTTTTTTTTTAAACTATTTGGTAAAAACCTACTGTAGAATGTATGTGAGAGTAAACTTCTGGGTCAAATTTGTGATATCAGAAAGGAATAGATACCTTAAATGGTATAAGGAATCTAGTCCTCTCAAAATCCATAGATAACTATATTCTTCATAGAAGCTGAGACTTAAAGGTCAATTCTAACAGTGAGTATTCCCAGGATGTAAGAGCAAAACTCTACTGTTATCCCTTATGAGAGGTATTTTTGTTTATTTTTTGCACAGTCTATGAATATACTGATGAGGATTCATTAGAAAAGAAAGCTACTTGTCCTTACTGATAACCTGAGTGAACAGAGCAGGTCTATAAAATTTCTCTGTCTTCCATCCTTTTTTTTTTTTTTTTACCTAATGTCTCAGCAAATGGGACAGGAGGTAGCCAGAGATAATTATAGAATCTGCATAGATCTCACATCCTTTTTTTTTCTCAGATTCCAAGAGCTGGACTTGAGCACAGAAGCCTTTTTCTACTTTGAATCTGTGAAAGAACAAGAGTGGTCCATGGCTGTGGAGAGGGGTTTGCATTCGAAAGCCAAGTATAAGAAAGTAAGCCACATTTAATTACCATTTTTAGCATATGTATTAGTCTGTTTTTGTTACTTATAACAGTACCAGGAACTGGATGATTTGTAAGAAAACGAAGTTTATTGCTTACAGTTTCAGAAGCTGGGAAATCCAAAGTCCAGGGAACACATCTGGTGAGGGTCTTCTTGGTGTTGGCTTTACAGCAATGCAGGGGTCTCACGTAGCAGAAAATGGTGGAGCAGAGAGAGACTCTTCGTGTGCTCTCCTTTTAAAGCTCTCTGAACCATCCCCCTGACCGCCATTGTTAATCCATTTGCTATAGCACGGTCCTACAATCTAATTACCTCTTCAAGGCCCCAGCTTTCAATTACCATAATAGGACTTCCCACCCTGTTAACACTGTCACAGTGGGGGCCAAGTCTCCAACACATTAAACTTTTGGAGGGACACAATTCAATTCCTAATATTCCAGCTCAGACCCTCCAAAATTCATGTCCTTTTCACATACAAATAAATTAATTTCATCCCCAAAGTCTTAACTTGTTTCAACTCAAAGGTCCAAAGTCCCAAGTCCCGTCTGTGAAATCAAAACAAGTTATTTACTTCCAAGATACAATGGTGGGACAAACATAGGGTAAATATTACCATTCCAAAAGGGGGAAATAGGCCAAAAGAAAGGGATTGAACAAGTCCAAAGCCCAGCAGGGCAGGCATTAAATCTCAAAGCTGATGAATCATGTATCTTCACTCCATGTTCGACTTCTGCACACTGGTGCAGGGATTGGGTCCCCAAGTCCTCAGGCAGTTCCACTTCTATGGCTTTCATGGTCTCAAGTGATGCTTTAGCTCTCGCAGGCTGGCATTACACACTGGTAGCTCTACAATTCTGGGGTCTCCATGGCAGTCCCGTTCTCCATAAGGCATGGCACTGATGGCGTTTCTCTGCTGCAACTCTGACCCCACGTTTCTGCTCAGCATTGCTCTAGCGAAGGCTTCATGCAGTAACTCTGCCCCTGTGACAGATTTCTTCCTGGGCCCCCAGGCTTTTCCATATACGTCTGTTGAAATAGAGGTGGAAGCTCCCAAACCTCCATAGCTCTGGCGTTCTGCAAGTCTGCACACCTAACACCAAGTGGACTCCACCAAGGCTTCCAGCTTGTAGCTTCCAAAGCTAAGGGTCCAGCCACCCCTGGGGCCAATTTAGCCATGGCTAGAACAGCTGAAGCAGCTGAGGTGCTGATGTGGGGAGCAGCATCCCAAGGTGGCCCTGGGCAGCAAGCCCATGGAGGGTGCCTCAGGCCTGTTCCCCAAGACCATCTATCTCCCTGGACCTCTGGGCCTGTAATGAAAGGGCTGGCCCCAGAGGCTTCTGCAATGCCGTTAGGGCTTTTTCCCCTTCTCTTGATAATCCCTTTCTTTTGTACTAATCTTCTTAGCACCACCACATTTTTCTCTTGAAAATGCTCTCTGCTTCTCTGCCATATGGACAGGCTGCAAATTTTCCAAATCTTTACACTCTGCTTCCCTTTTAATTGTATATTCTGGTTTTACATCATACCTTCCTGCCATACTCAGTGTAGGCTATTACAAGTAGCCATGAAGCTTCCTGAATGCTTTGCTGCTTAGAAATTTCTTTCACCGAATACCCTGGATCAGTACCTTGAAGTTCCACATTCCATAAAACTTTTGGGCATGAACAGAATGCAGCCAAGTTCCTTGCCACTTCGTAGCTAAGGTGATCATTGCCCCAGTTTCCAATAAGTCTCTTCTTGTTTACATCTTCTGAGACCTCCTTAGAATGGTCTTTACAGTCCGTATTTCTATCAGCATTCTAGTCACCACCACTTAACCAGTCTTTAAGAAGTTCCAAACTTTCCTCAGTAGCATGTAGGCTTTTCATAGCCTGTACCTCTAAATTCTTCCAACCTTTGCCTAACACCCAGTTCTAAAACTGCTTCCACATATTCAATTATTTGTTATAAGTAACACTCTACTCCTGGTAGCAATTTCTGTATTAGTCTGTTTCTGTTGCTTATAACACAGTACCTGGAACTGGGTGATTTGTAAGAAAATGAAATGTATTGCTTCTAGTTTAAGAGGCTGGGAAGTCCAAAGTCCATGGAACACATCCAGCGAGGGTCTTCTTGGTGGTGGCTTTACAGCAATGCAGGGGTCTTACATGGCAGAAAATAGCAGAGCAGAGAGTGAGAGAGTCTTTGTGTACTCTCCTTTTAAAGCCCTCCAAACCACACCCCTCTCTGACCACCATTATTAATCATTCACTATGGCATGGTCCTGTAATCTAATTACCTCTTCAAGGCCCCACCTTTCAGTTACCATAATAGGGCTTCCCACCTTCTTAACACTGTCACGGTGGGGGCCAAGACTCCAACACATTAAACTTTTGGAGGGACATAATTCAATCCATAATAGTATATGAGTAAATAGAACTCACTAGGAGTTATTCCATTATCTATAACTTGTTCCAGAAGAATGGTTTAATCGAATTCTTCCCTGTGTGTAGTACTGGGATAGGGCAGACTAATTCTTCGTACTTATTTCCTAGAGAAAAAAATGTCTCTAAGCTTTCTGATCCTGTACTTTCATTGCTTAGATAGTTTTATGAGAGAAAAAAAATAATTTTATTCTCATATGAATAATAAGGTAACTTATTTGTACAATAAAAGTTGAAGGTTGAAATTTGAAATTGTTCACTGACATGAGAATTCAATTCTTTATGAAGTATGTGGGTGCATAGGGTATTTGGAATCAGAGCAAGAATAGAGTGTTGTGGAATTTAAATGAGTTCTAAACTTGGTTGTAAGTCAACTATAGAGTTGACTTTAGCAAGGTGGGCCAATTTGTTAGTCTTTAGAAGGCATGTGGTAGAGGCACTTAGCTACTAGAAGAGTTATTTTAATTACAGGGCTACCATACTAAGCTCTCTAAAAGGAATAATCGGAATAATTTTCCTCTTTGTCTTCTAACAGTTTATGTAGATAATAAAACTAAAGATGTGTTTCTCTCATATAGGTCTGTGAATAATACATATCTCAGACATATTTCTAGCTTTAGTTCATATGTTAAAAATAATCAAAGTAAAAAGGATTGCTGTTTTATAGATTTAAATTTCTTACAAAATTACAAATCAGAAACTAGGAAGGAGAGATGGAAGGAACAGTTTGAGATAGTGGCTTTATCTTTATTATTTGAACTTTTAATGCTGCTTACTTCTGGGAGGCTAAAAAGTGATTAAAAGAATGGATCTAGAGCTGAGTGTACTCATTGTCCCTCACGGCTTTTAACTCTTATTGGGTCAGAGCCAGATTAGAGCTTCCTCAGAGAATTTTGGTTTCCACATTATCAGGTCCACTGGGAAGTTAGAGGATTTGGATTCAGATTTGGGCATCAGTATGTCGTCTTGGTGGAAAATTAGTTGTGGGAAGTTAGATATGTGGCAAAGAGTGGTGTTACCATTAACTTTTAATAACTGCCCCCCCACACACACACTGTAACTCATAGGTTCAGCTAGTCCGTCTTGTTGGGATGATGCTCCTTATATTTGCCAGAAAGGATCAGTGTCGATATATCCGTGATGTTGCTACAGAAACAGTTGGAACTGGAATCATGGGGAAAATGGTGAGTGACTTTGCCAATGATCTTGACTATTATTTATGTCTATGTGAAGTTTAATTGCTAGTTGTATGTACTAACTGTGAATAATTACTCTTGCTTAACAGGGAAACAAAGGTGGAGTAGCTGTGAGATTTGTGTTTCACAACACTACCTTTTGCATTGTCAATTCACATCTGGCTGCCCACGTGGAGGACTTTGAGAGAAGGAATCAAGATTATAAGGACATCTGTGCGAGAATGAGTTTTGTGGTCCCAAATCAGACCCTCCCACAACTGAACATCATGAAACATGAGTGAGTGGTTAACTCCCCTGTGGCCTTAGAATAGTGGGCCCAAGAAGAGATTAAATGTGTTGAGAAACTATAGAGCTGTGAAGAGTGAGGGATTACCATGTTGGGGTCACAAAGAAGAGAGCATTTTTGAGGAATAGCAGACACTGAGGCAGGGAAATTAGATTTGACATCAGAGGAAAGGTTAGTTGTATTAGTGGGGCATCTAGAATAATGCTGGAGGGATCTGTGAGTTGGAGTCCGTTTTTATAGTCTTTTATTATAAAGTAGAGATGTTCATTGTAAATGTATTAAAAGATAAAAGTAAAAGTAAAAATCCCTCGTTTCTTATCCTCTAGTCTCCCCCGCCAGTCCCTCTTTCCAAAGAAAACCATCTTAACAGTTGGGTGTGTATCCTTCTAGATCTGTACTGTCCAATAACAGCCAGTAGCCATATGTGCTACTGGACACTTGAAAGTGGCTAGTCCAAATTGAGATGCACTGTAAGCGTAAACTATACACTGGATTTCAAAAACTTGGTAGGGAAAAAAATATAAAATATCTCAATTTTTAAAATGTTGATTATATTGAAATGGTAATAATGTGGATATATTGGGTTAAATGAAATTTATTGTTAGTTATTTTCACTTGTTTCTTTTATTTTTAAAATGCAGCTACTAGAAAATTTTAAATTATACTGTGACATACATTATAATTTCATCAAAGAGCGCTTTTCTAGATTTTTCTCTATGCACATACAAACACACACGTACTCGTTGTATAGGATTGTATTATTCTATTTATTGTGGATATCCTTCTAAGCCAGTATATACAGATCTACATTATTCTTTTTAATGGCCATGATTATTAAAAATAGGAGTGGCAGAGAGAGGTCAGTGAAGAATGGGAGTTAATAAATACAGAAGCAGAAATACGTTGAGGAATGGACTGGATGGTGGTCGAAAGTGATTAATTGTAAAGAAATTAACACTACTCATTGAAATTCTGAGGGTATGATTTGGAATAAGTGGTTTGAGGTGGGAATTAGTAGGAAAGCAAAAGACAATTTAGGGCTATTAGAATCAATAGAAAGTAGGGTAATTGAGGAAAGAGTAGGGAAGGGTAGTGATATTGGCCTGTATTTCACAGAAGTAAAGTCAAGGCCTTGAAATTTTTGGACCTGAAGTTGCCCAAAAATTCCATAAATTTATTTTCCCAGGATTTCATAAAATTCATGTTGCTTTTGAGATTGGCAAAGTAACCCATTGGAAACTTGAGATAGCTCACAGGAGAATTCATTTTGATTTGGTAATTTAATTGTCTCCTTTTGTGGGGCACTCAAGCACATTGAGAGGCTCATTGCTGTGACTTGGAGCTGAGACTCCCATGGCATGCCAGTCTCTTGCCTGCCTGGACTTAAACTGCAGATCTTGGGCAGAGATAAACAGGTTGGCTGAACTGGAGAGCCCTGGACCTACTTTTCCTAGTGGGCCCTGCCTGGGAGAACTGTCATTCAGACCGTCTAGACCTTAGCAAAGTCTGCAGAAAACCTCAGGGCACTGAGAAGCAGAAAACTTTCAGATTCTCTTTCCCCAGGGACCTGGCAAGTAGCCAGGCAAAATTTTGAGGTTAGTGCAGCAAGTAAACTGCATGCTTCTCAGTGTCTTAACTCCTTGGCTTCTGAATTCCATACATATACTGTACTTCCTCGTTTTCATTCTTCACATATGGAGTGCCTATTCTCCCACCTATTTCGTAATCCATTGTCTCTCCCAGGTGTTGACAGTACTTGCTCCCAAAGGATTAGTTATAGCTTTAAAACCCTTGTCAGATAGTGATAAATGAACACTTATCAATAATCTACCCATTTTCTTCTCTTCATTCTTCTCTGATTGATTTTTATCCTAATTATTACTGCTTCTGTTCATATATTTCTTGATCCTCAGTGTTGTCATTTGGTTGGGAGATTTGAACTACAGACTTTGCATGCCTGATGCCAGTGAGGTGAAAAGTCTAATTACTAAGAATGACCTTCAGAGGCTTTTGAAATTTGACCAGGTAAATAAAGTTTCACTTTATAGGAACTTTCCTAGATGGCAGATAAGATTGTTAGGGCCATGAGATAGGCACGTGGGAGGCATGTCTTACTTTAGGAAGTGATGGAAAGGTATTATCTTGTGAAAACAGTGTGACTAGTGATGCATTGAATACATACAGGGTTTGTGGTGCTTTTATTAAGTGCTTGGATGGGACAGGGGAGATAATGTTAGTGCTAAAAAATAAATATAACATTCAGTAAGTCTTTATCAAGAAGAGATTTGTATAAATGAGTTGGAGAATGGGTGGGGTTAATTGGAGAACACTTCCTGGAGGAAATGGGCCCTCAGCTATGTTGATGTGGCTTGGCAGATGGAACAGGGAAAACTGTTCTATGCTTACTTGTCAGGCTGAGCAACAGCTTGGTGGTAAAAGAGGGAGGCCCTGTGAGGGGTACTGGGAAATACAGCAAAGTTTATCTGGGATGAATAGCATAAGCTGTAGTCTAATTGGAACTGATCGATAAGTTGGGGCTAGCTGGTATATGGCTGTTGATGTTAAAACCTGTGGAAAAAGCATTGATCCTATAACATTTCTCTAAAACCTGATATTCAGGAACCAAGTTTCCATGTACTTGACAGTAAATTTGCCTCAGAACCTGGCATGTGACTTGAATTTGTACTTCAGCATATGGATGCTGGCTGCTAAAAGTGAATGCTTCTTATTGAAGGAAGAAAATGTTTTGACTTGATTCAAATGTCTTCAAATCCTTATGAGAACCTTTTGATCTTCAGACATAGTCAAAATTCAGGTGTTTTGCAGTAGAATGGTTTTTGCAGTGAGCCTTTCTTGGCTGGGTCTACCTTCACATTCAGGTTGGCTAGCTAATTTCTTCACATTTCTTCCTCTGTCCAGCCTCCGAAAGGGGTACAGTTGGAATATATTCTGAGTCTTATGTAACTCTGGTAAAATATTTGAGTGAAGATAACTTTCAAAACAATTTGCAACTATTCACTGAATTTGGTTTTGGAATTATCCATTCAACATTTGTGTGCTTTTTTTTTTTTTAATTAAAATTGTGCTGGGTGGTTCCTGCCCAGCTCCAAGGAACTCAACAATTATTTAGATTTCATTTTTCCATTTTACCCCTGGTCACTATTAGCAGTAAAAAAATTAGCGATGTGCTAATAACAAGTATCCTATCTGAGGGTGAGTTTAGATGCTGTGGCAATGCCAAGATTTAACTCATAAGGTAGAGTTGTAAAAGCTATGGAACTGGATACTTAGAAATAGCAACAGTGGCTAATCAACCTGATTATCACTTATATTAATATGGTATTACTCTGCTTATGTGATGCTTCTTTCTATCTGTAGCTAAACATTCAGCGCACACAGAAAAAAGCTTTTGTAGACTTCAACGAAGGGGAAATCAAGTTTATCCCCACTTATAAGTATGACTCTAAAACAGACCGATGGGATTCCAGGTAAAGTGATAAGAACCTTCTTACAAAATAAATTAAAGCTTGATCTTATTTCTGTCTCTCAATATTGGTAAGGGGCTAGGAATTTTTTAGATCATACCATAAGCAGATATAAAAAACTAATGGCTCAGTGCTATTACGGAAGAGTTTTAATTCAAGTGTACTCAAAGGTGAGCTTATCTTAGGAAAGTATTACTTATATGTCAGGGCTATTGAAGATGGGCTGCCTGCAGTGCCTTATTTCTGTCACCCTGGCAGACTTGCTTAGATTTTTGCCTTCCTGATCTCACACCTATTTCTTACCTATTGCCCATGCTGACTCTTTTTATTGAAACTGCTTCTCAGCTGTTTGACTCAGGGTACCAGAAGGTGAAAACAAAGAGCCATGAAAGGTTCTTCTAGCACAGTAGTTATCGATCCTGAGAACACATTAGAATCTTCTGGGGAGCTTTTAAAAATACTGATGCCTGGTCCCCATGTTTGTCACTGCTGGAGAAAACTGAGAACCACTGTCTAGAAAGCCCTTTGATGTCCTAATCATCCCAGTAAAGTACCCCTGTCAGTAAGTTCTTGGTAACTATTTGTTTTCTACCTACTATTTCTTTGTTTCTTATGGTTTCCTAGCTGGCTGAGCACAGAAGCTTGAAAGTGAATCCCTAGGCATATTCAACTGCTTCTGAGAGCATCGGGCTGGGGTGGGGAGGAGTCTGTTTGTATTCCTGTGCTCCAAGGGTGCTAGTCAGCAAATGAAAAGTGACACTGACACATCTTGTACACTTTGCCTGGTTACTTCCACTCACCTGATGAGAGTCAGTTGAAGAGCTACCAATAAATATTTGTGTCACCTTCTGGATCAGGTGTACAGGTGTTGCTTCTTTTAATAGAATGGTGAATAGGTTTTTGCCCTACCCTTGGTATTCTATGGCCTGTTAAATACATTCAGGCTTGCATACTTCGATGTTAGTTCATCTCTATTAAAAAAAGCTGGACTTGTCCATAAAAGTCCAGGTTTAAAGGAGAAAATCTTTACTATTATTCCTCTCCAGAGATTAAGCCCAGTATAGGAATAGAGGGTTGAATTTTTAGATTTGGTTAATTATCTATCTGTTCTGAAGTGTTATTGCAATTCATAGAGCAAAGGAAGTATTCAGAATATAATCCTAACCTTCTGAGGATATTTTAAGAAGTTGCTATTATATATTTCCCTGTGGCAACATTGTTGAAGATGTAATCCTAATCATAGGAGAACCACTTATTCATTCATTAGATAACTATTCATTGAGCACCAACTTTGCACCAGATACCATGCTACAGGCTAGAAGTTCAGTGGAAAACAAGCAGACATGGTCCCTTCACAGAGCTTGCAATATAGTAGGGAAGATGATAGTTAGGAGTCATTAGGGAAGGAGAAGTATACAGTTCTTTGGGAGCATATAACAAGAGGCCCTAACCCAGGTCTAAACCAGTGTGGTAGGTATTATGTTCTTGAATTATATGTTCTCTTTATGACTCATTTCTTTATTTACAGTGGGAAATGTCGGGTTCCAGCCTGGTGTGACCGAATTCTTTGGAGAGGAACAAATGTAAATCAACTTAATTACCGGAGTCACATGGAACTGAAAACCAGTGACCACAAGCCTGTTAGCGCACTCTTCCATATTGGGGTAAACACTTGTTCATTTATTTGTTTGTGTGTTAAGTATCTATTCCAAGAGCATTATTTAGACTCAGAACAGATTAGTAATTCAGTGAGCCATAAATATTCCATAACCAAATAATCATTTGCAGCATTGAGAAGTTGTCTCCCTCAACCCTCCCAAATACTGTCAATGTAGCTCTTAATGCTCCAGGCCTTTAAATGACACAGATGTTTCTCATGCCACCTAATGGTTGGGTGGTAACCTGAGCCTCCAAAGACAGTATGCATGAAGAATAGTTAGAAGCTAGCTTTTAATGGATGAGTAACTTTTCACCAGATGGATAGTAAGGAAGGGAAGCACCAGGAGAGAGGTTGGGTGGAGGGGTTGGGACAGCAGGAGCAAAGGCCCAGACTGATCAGAATACAACCAAGTCTGTATATTGCCTTAAGAGGCATAATGTCATCCCTACTATAGTGAAGTCTTCCTGTTCAGTAGCATAGGTTTTAAAACTTTTGCATCGTGGGCTGAATTAATGGTCAGTTATTTAAATTTTTGTCTCTATTGTGAATTTTTGTCTCTATTGTGAATATTTTTTCCTATTGTATTTTTCAGCTGTGCATTATTCGTATGCAGGTTATAGCTCATACTCTTGCTGATTTAATTTACTACAGCCAGTACATTTAGGTAATTTCTTGTGGATTTTCCAGATCTATGGTCATGTAATCTGTCAGAATGTATATAGTGCAATGCTTAATAGGATGGGCTTTGTAGTAGACTGCTTGGATTTGCATTCCAGCTCAACCACTTTCTGTGTTACCATGGACAGCTTATGTAACATCCCTATGCCTCAGTTTCCTCCTCTATAAAATGTGGATAATAATGGTATCTGTTTATGAGTATTAATGAATTCAGACATGCTAAGAGTGTAGTAGGGTAGATTTCTTACCTCTGTGTATATGTCAGTTTTTTGGCTTCTGAAATAGGTATTACCAACATGTCTTATCCTGCTCCTATTTTAAAGAGGAATGACTTTGGGGCTTTTCCTTTAAGAACGCAATTAGTTCTTCGTCTTGGAATAGATTTTAAATTTTACGAAGACAATCATGACTTTACTTTTGTCCATTTTGAAATTTAAAATAATAATGATCATTAATAGTAAGTGTTCCTCCAATAGCAGCTACTATCTGTGTGCCAGGGACTGTGCTAGGCAATTGCACACATCTTATATACTCACCACATCAGTGCTTTGAGTTAAATATTTCCCATTTAACAGATGAGCAGGTGGAGAACCAGTGAGTTTCAATAACTTCATTAACTGCCATACAATCTAGCAATCCCACTGCTGGGTATATACCCAAAGGAATGGAAATCATCCTGTCAAAGGGATACCTGCACGCCCATGTTTATTGCAGCTCTATTTACAATAGCCAAGAGTTATAACCAACTAAATGTCCATTGTCAGACGACTGGATAAAGAAAGTTTATACTTACACAATGGAATACTATTCTGCCATAAAAAAGAATGAAATACTGCCATTTGCAGCAATGTGGATGAACTTAGGGAAAGTTATGTTAAGTGAAACAAGCCAGACACAGAAAGAAAAATACTACATGTTCTCACTCATAAGTAGGAGCTAAAAAAAATAATAATAATTTTTAAAAAGAAAGATATAACAATCAAATAATTCATTGAACTTTAAAAAGAAGAGAACAGAACTGAGGCCACCAAAATAGGGAAAGGGGGAGGGGAAGGGGGTTAGTGAGAAATTGGTAAAGGGCTACAAAAAATGATTACATTATGTAATGTTAAATATACTAATTATTATGATTTGAGCATCACATATTGCACACAGGTATTGATATTCAGTGCTGTACCCCACAGATACATACAATCAACTGTGTTCCAATAAAAATAATAAATAATAAATAAAAATAAGAAATGAAGACTGGGGCAGGGAGGGAGAGCATTCAACTATTCAAATAAAAGGAGAGCTGAGTTTCAAATGTGAGGTCTGTTTAACTCCCAGCGCTATGCTCTTTCCACTATCCCACAGCGCCTCTACAGTTCTAAAGTGCTTATTGACTAAATTTGCCTTCAGATACTACTTATAGCCCATTTAATTTCTAGGTCTTACTCGGGGGCTGCTCTCTTTTCATCATTTGAATTCTCTTAATCCGTTTAAGAGGATGTCTTTTCTCAAGCACTACCTCTTTAGTTTAATCAGAGGTAAAACTGATTAAACTGGCTTTTTTTGTTTGTATTTTTTTAATTATTTATTTTATAATTGACACGTAATAATTGTACGTATTTATGGGGCACAGAGTTATATTTTAATATCTGTATGTAATGTGTGATCATTGCAAAAATTTATTGTTTCTTTGTGATGAGAGCATTTGAGCTCCTCTCTTCTAGCCATTTGAAAACATACAGTAATATTATTGTTAATTATAGACACCCAGCACTACTGTAGGCCACTAAAGCTTGTTTTTCCGATCCAGCTATAAGTTTGTACACTTTAACCAACCTCTCTCAGTCGCTCCAGCCCCCTGCCCTTTCCATCCTCTAGTAACCTACTCTCTAGTTCTATAAGCTCAACTTTTTTTTTTTCTTTTTAGCTCCCGCATATAAGTGAGAACATGTGGTATTTCTCTTTCTGTGCCTGACTTATTTCACTTAACATAAAGTCTACTAGGCTCATCCATGTTGCTGCAAATGACAGGATTTAATTTTTTATGACTGAGTAGTATTCCATTATATATATATGCCACATTTTCTTTATCCATTCATCTGTCAGTGGATACCTAGGTTGATTCCATGTCATGGCCATTGTAAATATTGCTGCAATAAACATGGGGATGCAGATATCTCTTCAGTATGCTAATTTTCTTTCCTTTGAATAAATATCAGAAGTGAGATTCTGGATCATACGGTAGTTCTGTTTTGTTTTTTGAGGAATTTCCATACTGTTTTCCATAATATATGCCCACCAACAGTGTGTAAGAGTTCCCTTTTCTGCACATCCTTGCCAGCATTTGTTATTTTTTATCTTTTTTTTTTTTTTTTGTCCTTTTTGAGACTGGCCACACCATGCTCAGCCAGTGAGCGCTGTGAGCACACCGGTCATCCCTATATAGGATCCGAACCTGTGGCTGGAGCGCTGCTGCACTCCCAGCGCCGCACTCTCCCAAGTGCGCCACGGGCTCAGCCCTATTCTTTATCTTTTTGATAATAGCCAGTCTGACTGGAGTGAGATGATATCTCATTGTGGTTTTGATGTGCGTTTTGGGGGATTTTTTGGTTTTTTTGTTTGTTTGTTTGTTTTTCCTTTTTGTCTTTTTTCGTGTCTGGCAACGGATCGCAACCCTCAGTGTCGCGCCCGTACCGGACCGGGACCGGCAACGGGATCGCAACCCTCGGTGTTGCTCCCACACCTTGCTCAGCCAGTGAGCGGGAACCGGTCTGTATGTGGAATCCAAACCCTCAGCGGGAGCGCCACCGCACTCCCAAGCGGCGCACTGTAGCAGTGCGCCACCGGGCCGGCCCTTTTTTTGTTTTTAAAGATGACCAGTAATGGGATCTTAACCCTTAGCTTGGTGTTGTCAGCACCACGCTCAGCTAGTGAGCCAACAGGCCATACCTATATAGGGATCCAAACCCTTGGCCTTGGTGTTATCAGCACCACACTCTCCCAAGTGAGCCGTGGGCTGGCCCTTGATGTGCATTTTTCTGAAGATTAGTGATGTTGGACATTTTTTCATATACCTGTTGTCCATTTGTATGCCTTCTTTTGAGAAATGTCTATTCAGCCCATTTGCCTGTTTTTTAATTGGATTATTTATTTTTTTGCTTTTGAGTTGTTGAAGTTCCTTGATTGAGAACCTGGGAATATTTTAATACTCCAAACACACTAATCCAGAACTCCCAGTGGAATGTTTAAAATTTTTCCAGACTTTCTGTGTATTTTTGTGTATCTTTAAAAAAGGTCTACCTTTCTAGTTTTTAATGATTTTTAAATTGTACAGCAATTCAAAAGTGCTTTTCCTTTAAAATAAAGAAGAATTTTAAGCCGAATTTACAAATAAAGCTGAAGTTCTTCAATCCCTGGTCTGTCTTCTACTCCAAACTTTGCCTAAGCCACCTACTCCCCAGCCAGGCCAACTACTCTTATGAGTTTATATCTTTCTAGAACAGCACTGTCCAATAGACCTTTCTATGCTTATGGAAATGTCCTATTTCTATGCCATCAAGTCCAATAGCTACTAGGTATGGGTGGCTATTGAGTACTTGAAGTATGGCTAGCGTGACTGAGAACTGAAGTTTTAATTGTATTTAACTTAAAGTAATTTAAATTGAAATGGCTCTGTTGTCATGGGCTATTGTATTAATGCCGTTCTAGACCTTTGCATATGCTTTTCTGTTTACCCATAGACAAAATATTGTTTTATGTGTAGCTGTGTGTATATCATAAATAGTCTTATACCATATGTGTTGATCTGTAATTTGCTTTTTTTTTTTAGTTCAACAGTGTGTCTGGAGATCTGTTCCTGTTATTACATCAAGATCTAGCTCATTGTACTTTTTTCTGAATTCTTAATTTCATCAGTAATTTTCTTTTCTAAAATAATGTATCAGGTGGTGAAATTCTTTCATGTTTTTTGCCCCCTTATTTTCCTTGACGTGCCATTAAGTGCTGCAATCATGATAACCTACTGAGAAAAGATTTGATTTTATTGAGTAACCACCCAATATTTTGGACTCTTGAGCATGCTATGATTAGAGGCTTTAAAAACCACATTACATTTTTACCACCATTGGCACCAATGACTGTTAACAAAGGAGCCAAATGCTCTGTGGCCAATTAATTTCAGAAGACTTGCTGCGGGCTGGCTGAGATTAAGCTGAAATAGGGTTCCACCCCTGCACTTGGCACTGTGGTCTGTTGCATTGGTTCTCAGACTTTAGTGGACATTAAAAATTGCCTACAGAGCTTTAAAAAAAGTATAGATGCATGGACCCTGCCCCTGGGTTTTGTGATTAACAGACCCAGGCTGCTGTGCTTTCTAGATATACCTGAGTAGATTCTGTTGCATACCTGGTATTTTACAAAGGTTATTACACTAGTGGTCCAAATGTCACCTTTGGTATTAACTGTGGCCATGAGCAAGTTAGTTGATCTTTTATATCTTAATGTTCTCAATTATCAGAAGAGGAATATTCCTTGTTTTGGTAGCCTTGCAGGTTGTGAAAATAAACGTGTAAAATACTTTTTGAAATAAAAAGTTGGAAAATTTTGTAAAAGTATAAAATTCATCTTAACCTAACAGTATAGTATGGACCCTGAAGTGATTGCTTGATCCTCAGTTCTCTGAGAGGTATAGTTCAAATATAAAATAAAAAAAAAAATTCGGGCCGACCCCGTGGCGCACTTGGGAGAGTGCGGCGCTGGGAGCTCAGCGACGCTCCCGCTGCGGGTTCGGATCCTATATAGGAATGGCCAGTGCGCTCACTGGTGGGCGACACCACACCAAGGGTTGCGATCCCCTTACCGGTCACGAAAAAGACAAAAAAAAAATTTTTAAAAAAAAAACCTTCCCCATCTGAGATATTTGGCTCAGCTTTAATGTTCTTATTTTCCACATCTGCATTAGAACCTTTGCTGCATACATCAATCTTTTTTTTTTTTTGACATGGATTTTTGTGAAGTTTTCTATTCTAAAAAAGAAACTGATAATAAGTTAAAATGCTATCTTAATTATATTAATTTTTGCCATCAGGGTGTATGAAGTTTTAATATTTCAAACAAAACACAGCTATATCAGGAAGCTGAAAGTGCTGTGTCAAGTGGGAAATTTTTTGATTAGTCAAGATGATTTGTTTGTTGTTATGGTTTTACTGTAGTCTAAGATATTTTGTGTCGGCCGTTTTCTAAAATGGCCATAGGTTCCATTTACTAACATACCTTTGCCATTATATAATCTGAGCTGTGATATTATGATTCTTGGCATTGTGCATAGCAGCTAAAAGAGTTAAATGCTTTAATCATATTTTTTGCTATTTCACCACTTTATGATGATTGTTAGAAGCTGTAATGTATATGGTTTGATACTGTCGTTTTGTACGGTTCAAGAAATCATTTTTACCACAATTATCACATTTTCTTTACTACCAAATAACTTAACAGTGGAGCAAGAAAACATTCTTCCCAAATATTTATTAATGCCAGGCTTCTTAACATGGAGGCTTAACTTTTCCAGGCAGTTAGCCAATTAACCCTACCTTGAAGTTTAATTTATATTTGCTTTAGTGACCTTTTAAAAATTGTTAGAGACCCTTGGAGATATGTAAGTTGAGAGCACATAAGACTAAAATAAGAATCTGTTTTCTTTCAGGTGAAAGTTGTGGATATAAGTGAGATGTCAGAAAGTGTTTGAAGACAGTATTCACACCACAGTTTATTTTAAATGGTTGCTGTAATAACCAGTTTAAATTGTTAGATAATCTCAAAGGGAGATGAACTAGGAGCAATGAGACTGAAAAGAGGGTTTTTTTCTTTCAGGTGAAGGTTGTGGATGAACGGAAGTACCGGAAAGTCTTTGAAGATAGCGTGCGCATCATGGACAGAATGGAAAATGACTTCCTTCCTTCCTTAGAACTCAGCAGGAGGGAGGTGAGCAGAAATACATGGCTGCCCCGTCTAGTGCTCATTGTGGTTAGCGTAGAGGAAACCGTGTTACTTAGAAAAGGCAACACAGCAAAGTGGTCAAGACCGTGTGTGCTGGAGCCAGACTGCCTCCATTCCAATCCCAGCACTGCCATTTAGTAGATGTATGACCTCAAGCAAGTAAGTGCCTTACCCTTTCAGAGCCACAGTTTCCGTTCTGGATTAAAGGGTGGTTCTGAGGATTACATGAGTTAATACATACGAAGCTTCTTAGAACAGTGCCTCGTGCATAGTAAACCCTCAGATGTTGGCTGCTCTTATTTAATATTTCAGAGCTGCTGGTTAAATCATGTCTCAGGAAGCAGGACTTGGTCACAGGATGAATGCCCTGGACCAAGGTTGGGTTATAACCCTCTTAGGATCCCAGGAACAATCAGAGTAGCCTAGAGAGGTAGCAACAGCCACTTGACTCCTTCTCTGCTGGCGTGAGTATAATAATATCATGAGAATGGATGGTGCAAAGGTAGTTCAATTGGTGAATGCATATGGCAGTTGCATACCTGGTTTAATTACCTTATTCTTTATTCATATTTCCTATGGAATAATCCAACTGACTTACTTCCCCTACTAGTGATGCATGTTTGTGTCTGTCTGTCATTCCCAGTTTGTGTTTGAGAATGTGAAGTTTCGGCAACTACAAAAGGAGAAGTTCCAGATCAGCAACGATGGACAGGTTCCCTGCCATTTTTCTTTCATCCCTAAACTTAATGACAGCCAGTACTGCAAGCCATGGCTTCGGGCTGAACCTTTTGAGGGCTACTTGGAGCCAAGTGAGTTTTCCCTTTACCATCGTCTCTGCTTGTGATGTACCATGTCCTCATGATTCCCATCCCCTTGATTTAACTTCTTGTTTCCTAACCACATGTCTCTTACTTTCACTGTCATTATTTTGGTGATACTTCTTTTATGTATCCAATCTCTCCTCCTTCATTGCTTGATGGTTTTTTAGAGGACGCTTGTTCTGTTGGTTCTCATACCCTCATTGCTTTTGCATTGGAAGTGTCTTTATTACTGTGTATCATCTTTTTCATTTCAGATGAGACAGTGGACATTTCTCTTGATGTGTATGTCAGCAAAGACTCTGTGACCATCCTGAACTCAGGGGAAGATAAAATTGAAGATATCCTTGTTCTTCATCTGGCTCGAGGCAAAGATTACTTCTTGACCATCAGTGGAAATTACCTCCCCAGTTGTTTTGGTACATCCTTAGAGGCTTTGTGCCGAATGAAAAGACCAATCCGAGAAGTTCCTGTTACCAAACTCATAGACTTGGTAAGAAACATACTAAGATGTAAACCTTCTTTACATATAGTTTTCACAGTACTTAGGTGATATCCTCATTATCTCTGCACTTTCTCTCTTTTGGGGGGGCAGGGGGGGCTGTCAAGTGATAATGAGTAATGTCACTTTATCTAGCACTACTTTGATTAGATTAAGCCTAAGGGGAAAGAGGAGAGGCTAATCTGTAGTTGACTCTTGTCAGGAATATAATAGATAATACTAAGCTCACCAGATAAGACTAGAGGCACCCTTCTAGAAGACATAATGCTTATTTGTTAACCTCAGTCACTTTTGTATAAATTAGTGTGCATGTGAGGTATGGTAAGTGGGGGAGAGGCAGTATTATCCTCATTAAGCATATGAGAAAACTGAGGCACAGAGACATTAACTTGCCCAAAGTCAAACAAGTTAGTGACAAATCTGTCACCCAGATTTTCTGACTCCCAGTCTTGTATTCCTCACTGTACTAGATTATATCTAATCCAAGAAAAACTTTGCTGCTTAAGGAAGCACAGACCTAAGTGGAACCTTGGAGTACCTGCATCAGAATCCCCAGAGATGCTTACTACAAGTACAGGTTCCTCCCCCCTCACCTCTAGCAACAGGATCAGAATCTCAGGGTGTGGGACCTAGGGATCTGCATTTTATCAGCATCCCAGATGATTATAATGTACATTGAGGTTTCATACTTATTTAATGTAACTCAAGAAAGGGAAGGAGAATGATTTTCCCACCCCTTCCCCAAACCAAGCTATAATATCAATGTCCTTATGAGGGAAATGCTTATCATCTTCAGTAACAAAGTGATTTAGTAACAACTTCATCCTATTAAGAAAGTTCCAAATGAAGATACTGTTGGATTTGTGTACAGACCTCTTTGGGCTACAAAAGTATATTTTCTGTCTTTGCCAAAGAAAATTAGGTGAAGTGACAGCCATACATTACCTTTACCATTAGCATTCACATCGATCCTTTTGGCCAAACTAGAGCAAGTGATTGTATCATCTAGTGGGGAAGGCTGGACTAGTGGGCAGGCTGCTGGCTTGTCTGAGTGTGATTTGTTCTGTTGCCATGGAATTGTTTTAGCTGTGACTCAAATAGCAGTTTAAAACACTTGAGTCCAGTCCTAGCATTCTTTCTTGGAATTACACTTCTTTCCCTAGAGCCCTCATGAGTGAGTATATTACCTCTGTTTGAGAGAGAATCATTTTCTTCAGAAATTCATATCCTGTCATTCTGCTATTTCTCATGATAATTGTTTTTTCTTCTACCACCACGTTCTTGTCTTTCAAATTAAGTATTTCGTCTTTTAGAATACATTCTGAATGATGAGGTTGTTGTCTTTTATTTCTACCCCCTTCCCTTCATCCCAAATACCACTTGCCAGCTTTCTTTGTCCCAGCTTTTTATTACAAAAAATGTCAAATGTGCAGAAAAACTGAAAGAACAGTACAACGAACCCCCACATGCCTTATGTACACATATACACACACATTTTTTTGCTGTACTGTTTAAAATTAAGTGGTAATATCATGGCATTTCACCACTAAAAACTTCAGCCTGCATCTCTTAAGAAAAAGGACATACTTTTATATAAGCACAGTACCATTATTATGCCTAAGAAAACTAACAGTAATCCTTAGTATCACTTAACATCAGTCCATATTCAGATTTCTCCAGTTATCCCCAAAATCTCTTTTGTAGCTTGTTTTGAACCCGAATCCAATCTAGGTTTATGCAGTACATTTGGTGAGGTCTCTGTAGGTTCTTTTAGAATAAATAAAACAGTTCTTCCCTTTTTTTTTTTTAATGCCATTGACTTTTTTTTAAGAGTCTAGTACAGTTATTCAATCAAGGGTCCACGATTATCTAAATTTGATTGTTTCTTCTTGGTATTTTTTTTTTAACTGATCCCTTTATACTCTTTCCTCCCCCCTTATTTCCTGTAAACTGGTGGAGGCATTATATAACCTTTGCCATAATTTTCCCATGTTAATTCTGGAAAAGGCCAGAAGGAGGCTCAACCAGCATAAAAAGTTTTTATTGTAAGTAAAATATTTTGTCAGGTAATTCCATCATGTTTGCCCATGAATAGAAAGTAGCCAAAAGTATCAGAGAAATTAATGGCTCTGTAGGAAGCTCTTTTTCTTTTTTGTGCACAAGCGATTCAAGGTTAAAAAAAATAGAACCCCGGGGCCGCCCGGTGGCGCACTGGATAGTGCGCCGCTTGGGAAGCGCGGCTAGCGCTCCCATCCGAGGGTTCGGATCCCACGTACAGACCGGCTCCCGCTCACTGGCTGAGCGA